ATACCCAGTGGCACCTTGGAAGAAGAGTCTGGTGATCTGCTTCCATAAAGATTACAGCCAAGTAAATGTCATGAAGCTCAATTCTACTTTATAACACATGTATACATGTGGTTGCCATGAATCAGAAATAATTCAAAAGCTATGGATTTAGTTTTTAGTTTTATTATTTTATTTTATTTTTTATTAATCTTCTTTCCTTGTGATATCTTTGTCTGGTTTTATAATTAGTGTTAGGATGGTAATGCCACCTTACAGTGAGGTGTGAAGGATTTTCTCCCCTTCTAATTTTTGGAAAAATTTATGAAGTGTTATCATTAATTTCCCCTTAGGATTAGTGGTATTTTTCCTTCTTTAATTTTATTTTTTTGTTGTTGAGAATCTACATAGCGAACCATACACCAGTTCAACCATTTCTACATGTACAAATAAGTGACACTGATCACATTCTTTGAGTTGTGCAACCATTCTTACCCTCCTTTTTTGAATTGTATCTCACCCATTAAGATAAACTCACTGCCCCCTAATATTTCTAATCTACTCTTTTGAATTACTAGTGTCACTTTGATCCTATAGAGAGAGTTCTTAAAAGAGCATAATGCTCAAGGCCGATAATTTTTTTACTGTTGTTGTTATGTGCTGTCGAGCCGTACCCGACTCATAGCGACCCCTCCTTGGTTTCCGAGGCAGTATCACTACAGAAGTAGATTGCCCCATCTTCCTTCCGAGGAGTGGTTTGAACCGCCAGCCTTCTGGTTAGCAGTCAAATGCCTTAGCCACTATGCTACCAGAGCTCCCTAGTTAAGCTAAACTGTTGTTTGGTTTTAAGAAGACTTCAGGGGATATTTTTGGTTTAAAATTTAAAGATTATCTCAGGGCAATAGTTTCAGGGCTTTATCCAGCCTCCATGGCTTCAGAAAGTCTGAATTCCATGATAATTTGAAATTCTGCATTGCATTTTCCTCCTTTTTAATTAGAATTCTTTTATAGTTTTTTTTTTTTAATGCATTTTATAGAAATAGAATTTATGTACAGTGAAATACACAAAACTAAAGTGACATGGGTCAGTGCATTTTTTTTTTCTTTTGCGGTGTTTCCTCCCCCTCCCACCCCTGGCAACCAACAAAGAAAGTTTCCTTCCATATATAAACCTTTCCTTGACTTTTTACGATAATGAACTAATACTATATTTGTTCTTCTGTGACTGACTTATTTCACTCAGCGTAATGTCCTCCAAGTTCATCCATATTATGTGGTATTTTGCAGACTCTACATTATTCTTTAGTGCCACATAGCATTCCGTTGTGCATATGTACCATAGTTTCATCATCCACTCTTCTGTTTCCATCTTTTTGTTATTGTAAATAGTGCTGGGATGAACATGGGTGTGCATATATCTGTTCCTGTCCTGGCTCTCACCTCTCTAGGATATATACCTAGTAATGGGATTGCTGGGTCAAATGGTATCTTCAATTCCAGCTTTCTAAGGAATCCCATACTGCTTTCCACAGTGGTTATATTACTTCACAGTCCCATCAGCAGTGTATGAGAATCCCAATCTCTCCACATCCCTGCCAGCCTTTTTTTTTCTTTTTTCTGTCTCATTGAACCTTTCCATCAGTGCTGGAGTGAGATGGCATCTCATTGTTGTTTTCATTTGCATCTCTCTGATGGCCAGTGATCGTGAGCATCTCTTCATGTGTTTGCTGCCCACCTGAATATCCTCCTTGGTGAAGTGTCTATTCATGTCTTCTGTCCATTTTTCAATTGGATTGTTGGTGTTGAGGTGTTGGAGTTTTCTATAAATCTTAGAGACCAGTGCCTTGTCAGATAAGTAATTATTGACAATTATGAATTTGTTGCTGTCATTTTCTTATGTGCTTTTTCTTAATGTCAATTTCTTTGTTCCATATAATTTCTGTGCTGAGTTTATTCTATTTACGAATCATGTATTACTTCCTTCTTTGCTATTGTTTTAGTATTTGCTAAATATTTGTGCTGTTCCTCTTTTTGATTTTGATATGAAGGTTTATTATTTTCCATTGAGGTTACCCTGTGATTTATAGCTTTCTTTCCAAGTTGAGAACAGTCTGTTCTATCTTGTAGTTGTCTTGACTTCCCTACCATCTAGAAGTTCTGTTAACAACACAATTTTTTCCCTCTTTTTGGTTGTCCTCATTTATCAATTAATGTCTCTGGTTCCCTGTTTCCAATCCTGTAGGCTTATTTACTTTGGATACTTCCTAGCTGGGTTGGTTTCTGGGTTATGTCATCATGTGTGTTGATGGTCAGTTGTTGTTTGCTGTTGTTGGTTCTGTGTCCAGAGGACTCCCTTTACATATCTTGTAAGGTTGTTCTGGTTTTAAAAAATTCCCTTAATTTCTGCTTATCTGGAAATGTCCTAATTTTGCCATCTTATTTGAGGGACAATTTTGCTGGGTACATAATTCTTGGTTGGAAATTTTTCTCTTTCAGGGTTTTATGTATAACATCCCATTGCTTTCTCGCCTGCATGGTTTCTGCCAAGAAATCTGAGCTTAGTCTTACTGGTTGCCCTTTGTAGGTACCTTTTTTGTTTTGCCCATGCTACTCTCAGGATTTTTTCCTTGTCTTTGGTTTTGGTGAATTTGATGATGATATATTTTGGTGACCTTCTTTTGCAGTCTATCCTGTTTGGGGTTCATTGGACTTCTGAATGGATGTATTCTCATCTTTCATCATACCAAGAAAATTTTCTTCCAACAAATCTTCGACAATTTTCTCTGTGGTTTTATTTGTGTCTTCTTGTTCTGGAATTCTGACTACATGTAGGTTATTCCTTTTGATGACATCCCACACGAACCTTAGGCTTTCTTCATTTTGTTTTGATCTTTTTTCTGATTGATCACTTTCTAAAGAAATATTGAGGTATTTGCCTTCAATCTCACTAATTCTGTCTTCCATTGATTCAGTTGTACTCCTTTGCCCATTCAATGTGTTATCTACTTGTGAAAATTTTGTATTATATATTCTTCTGGATTTCTGTCTGTAGATTTTGAATCATTTCTAAGTTTTCATTTATTTTGTTCTTTTGTTCTTGTATCGTCTTTTGAAATGGTTCTAGGGTTTTCTCTGTGCTTTCTTCAATTTTGTCAGTGTTTTCCTTGATCTGTCTGTCTCTTGATTCATTGAAGGTACCTAAATATAATTCTTTTGGATTCCTTATCAGGGAGTTTAATGCTGCATCTTCCACAGGGATGTGTTTTGAGTCTGTATCCTGGTCCCTTGTTACTCCTGTTTTATCTTGTTTCTTTTTGTGGACTGTGATGCTCTGTTGTTTCCAAGGCATTGTGACATTTTTGTGTTTATATTTAATTGGTGATTGTATGTTGGAGTGACTTGCCCACAATTTTCATGTTCTTTGTTTTGTTTGTATGTTATCTGTGTAAGCAGGGTACTGTGCTGTTCTCCTCTGTTTGCTAGTTGGCACCACTTACACACTCAACACCTGTCTCCTTTCCCATTGTCAGCCTCCTGTATGTCCCTGCTTCTCGTGGCTACAGAGCCTATCCTTAGGTCCCTGGAATCTGAATGAGAACGCTTTAAAATAAAACTTTAAAATAAAGTTTAAAATAAAAAATAACTGCCACTTGTAAAGATTCCAAATTGCTGGTCACTTTAAGTACCCAAAATGTCACTTGGTCACTTTAAGTACCCAAAATGTCCACTTCTTGTAAACATTCAAAATGGCTGTACCCTCAGTCACTTTAAATATCCAAAATGTCCATTGCTTGTAAACAATCAAAATGGCTCTGCCTTTCCGATAGCTGAAAGTTTGCAGCTCAGATTATTTCCCTCCTTGCTGTTTCCCTTCCTAGTCATAGGTCACCAGTGCCGTCATCTCTGCAGCCCTTGGTGAGGGCTGATCTTTAGGTCAATTCTCAGGTCCCAACACCACTTGAAAATATTCAGGCTGTTGGTCCCATCAGAGTAGCTGAGAGTCCACTGCTCTGACCATCTCTGTACTCACTGTTTTCATTCAGATTTTTCCACTAGTTGGTGCCTAATCCACTTCTGTATTCTTCCTTTCTAAACTCAGGGCTCCAGGATTATCTTCTGTATTTCTTTGAATTCTTTTCTCTTTTCTTTCTTAGAGAGGGTCCATGGAACTTGTCTGCCTATTCCACCATCATCTTCTTCTTCTTCTTTTTTTTTTTCTATAGAATTTTGGCACTTGACTGCTATCCAGAAGGCTGGTGGTTCAAACCCACCAGCCACTCCTCAGAAGGAAGGTTGAGCAATCTACTTCCATAGTGATACTGCCTCAGAAACCCAAGGAGGGGTCACTATGAAGTTGAGGCCGACTCGATGGCAAATAACAACAACAACAACATAGAATTTTGGATCAAAATGTTTAATAATTGTAGCCAGGAAACATCCTGTTCTGGGTTCATGGCTAAGGAGGCAGGTGTTCATGGAGGCAGTTATCCACATTTTGCATTTCTTCTTTCTATTTCTGACTCTACTTCTTCTGGTGCTCCAGGTGAGTAGAGATCAATTATTGTGCTTTGGATGCTGCTTAGAAGTTTTAAAGATCCCAGGCACTATGCGGTGCACTAGGAGTTAGAACAGAAGCAGTTAACATGTTAGTAGACCAGTTAACTGTGATGTTCCATGAAATTAAGACCCTAAACCTCCAAACCAAGGAAACACATCTCGTGAGGTTTTTGGTTGTATATGAGCAACCTCAGAAGTTTATTATTTTAATTTTTTGTTATTGTTATAAATGTATCTAACACACAACTTTTGCCAATTCAACTTTTTTACAGGTGTACAACTTATTACCAGCAATTACATTAATTGGCAGTACAACCCTATCCTTAATCAATGCAATATTTCCATCACTGTTAACCTGCTGTTTCTTCTCCCTCACACCACTTGTGAGCTTTAATTAAATGTTGATCTCTGTATATTTGCCTTTTCTTAAAACTAATGATACTTTAATTAATGTTTTTGTCTTTTAGGATTCTCCTTTTACAAATGCAGGAATGGGATCAAATCTCAATCTTTTGGGTGAAATTGAGTGTGATGCCAGCATAATGGATGGAAAATCCTTAAATTTTGGAGCAGTTGGAGCACTGAGTGGTATGTGGGCTAAAATGATGACTATTACCATTTCATGTTTCCTAAAGATTCAGTCCAGTCTTTTTCACTGTTCTTACATGGACAAGTGCTGACAACAGATGTTTTTCTCGTTTTGCTGAATTTAAAACATGAAACTTCATCTATAGATAAAGTAAAGCATCCCATGGCCAAGTTTTCTTTAGAATTTGATCATTCTCCCTATATCCTCAAGAGATTAACTTCAAAGCTTGATTTAGCGTGCTCTATTTAAAATTATTTGAAATACTGAAGTTAAATATTTTTATTATAAAAAGAAATCAAATGCTATAAGTAAAATTTACCCTTGATTCTCCTAATCTTCTCCCTATCCTTCTTTCCCCTGGGAGTTTAACCAGTAAAATCCACTGCATTTATCTCTATAGTTAAGTAATGTTGCTGTTGTTGTTAGGTGTCATCACATCAATTTTCAGCTTGTAGTGACCCCATGTGGCAGAGGTCATTGGGTTTTATCATTGGGTATTCTGGGCTATAATCTTTATAGGAGCAGATTGCCAGGTTTTTTCTCTTGTGGAACATTTTGGTGGCTTTGAACCCCAAATATTTTGGTTAGCAACTAAGTCTTATCCATTGTGCCATCAAGGGTCCTTGCATAAAATGTAATGACAGTATATTTTGAAATGATATGAATATTATATACTTATGAAATATTGTCATGCTTATTAAAACTATAGTTAAGGGATGTACGGTAAAAACACTGCTAAGGTACATTTTTCCAAATATTAAACTGATAGAAACCAGTTGCCAGCAAGTTGATCATGACTTATGATGACCCCTATATCAGAGTAGAATTGTACTCCACAGAGTTTTCAGTGACTGATATTTTGGAAGTAGATTTCTAAGTCTTTCTTCCAGAGTGCCTTTTGGTGGACTTGAAATCACCAACCTTTTGTTTAGCAATGAGCAAGTTAACCAGTTGCACCACTCAGGTACTCCTAAAAATATTAATTGTTATTGTTAGGTGCCCTTGAGTTGAACTCATGGCAAATCCATGTGACAGAGTAGAACAACCTCATAGGGTTTTCTATATTGTAATCTTTAAAGCAACAAATCACCAAGTTTTTTTTCTCTTGAGCAGCTTAGTGTGTTCGAACCACTAACTTTTTTTTTTTTTTTTATTAGGATTTGGGTGAAGATTTACAGAGTAAATTCACTTTTCATACAGCAGTTCACATATACTTTGTCTCATGTCATTGACCA